GATTCAGATTCTGGCCTTACCATAGTCTGTTTACGTTTGCCAAAGCACTTATTGCGAATAAGTATTCTCTGTTCAGCATCATGTTGCCGTGCTCATAAACGGTGCTGCCTGTAAAGGAACGAGATTATGACTCTAATTTTGTCGGAAAGGATAAACAGTTCGTATTTTTAATTATCCTCTGATTTGATGAGAATTATCCTTTGAGCATCTGTGAACCTCAACAGCAGAAATTCTGTCGCTTTTAAGCTCTTAGCAGTTTAGCACATATGATTACCATTGAGGCAGCTGTACCTCGGTTTGCCATGAGGCCGCTTAAGAAATACTGCATTACCGGTTTTCGGCTCCTTCTGATGAATCTTCCAATTTCTGAACACCCAGCTTTGACAGATTTGACCTGCATGCGGCTTCTAGGCTTTTAGGCGTTTCTGGATTCATTTACTTATTGTAAATTGATAAAGCTTATGACTTCTGAGGAAGTGTGATGAAACCAGGATTATGCTACTTTCTGCAGATCTGTAGCGTCCAGATGCTTTCCTAAAATCAACAGGGCATTAAAAGTTTAGTTTTATTCCGTTTTCGTTTTCATTTCTTGCTTTTCGGTGCATACCGTTTTTCTGATAAGACTAAATTCCACTGACAATTTCTAAAATAATTTTTATACGAACCATACTTTTTAGCTATAATCCACACGAACGTTTCAAAACCTAACCACATCCATTTATGTATGTATTCCCTTTAACGCAGGTCTACTGTTCATGTCAGTTTTAGATATATACTCAAATCTTGTGCCACATTTTCTTTGGATTTTCCCCTGTTCCCTGTCAGTCACTGGACCATAGTTACCGCGGGTTCGACAAAAATTCCTTTTATGTTGCTGATGTAACGGTGTCTGCATTCGATTAGTATAATTAACTGGAAGTAAACCTGATGTGCCCTTCATGGAGGTTTTTGATTCATCTTTCGATTCACTAGTTTCTGGAGTATGGCGAACGTTGATGCTAAGATATTTGTCGTCTAAATTTCAACCACACTTCATTGGCTATACTCAGGACAAAACAGCACTTCCGTTTGCTTGAAGGTGATCTTCCTTGGTGATTCAACACATCCACCTGAACATTCACAATTCTGTGGAGTTCAGATCCTGTTGGTGTCTGCTCAGGGTCGTCAAACGCTTCGTTACAGATAGATGTAATGATATTTCTACCGTCCTGAGGACCATTCTCTTTCGTTTGATCACAATCTTCTTATGTGTATGAATTAATTTAGCTATATGCTGTTCAACTGCTATATGCCGATAGCAAGAAGCTTACAAATGATTGACGAGTTCGGTCGCGATTCTGACGTGCTTCACTACTATTTCCACAAAGTTGAAAAGCCGATCGACCAAGAGTGCACTCTTGCTGAAGAGTTGGAGATCCCCGCTTACCGGAAATCTGTTGAAAAACTCAGGAAAAAGCAGCGGCTCTGCAAACTTGCTCGAATTCAAGCGTACCTGAAGGCACAGGATTTGATGAAGAGAATTCCAAAGTCATTTCCAGTCGCTCCTGTTCACGAGTAGAACTCTTGTGTTATTTATTATTAAATAAAGGTTTCCCATTGTCTTGTCTGAAATTGCATTTGGTGCATACCGTTGAAATATTTGGTGTTTTGTACAAACGTAAATTGTGCGAATATTTAATAAAGTTTCTAAATGATGATCTCATTTGAAACATGGCAATGAACTGCAGACGGTAAATAAGTCAGTGTTTGAATTTACTGTTGCTTCTCTGTACCGCGAAGAGTCGGTTACAACTCTTCTTGTGAATACGCATTCGTAGACCTATGTATTGAAAATCTCTTTCGCACAGGACTGACTAGGATATGAGTAAGAGGTGATTTGTGCCTTTCGAGTAACGTTCGTAGCTGACTCGTGATCTCGCCGAACATAAGGTAGATAAACCTGCTCTGGTTTCGAAAGATTTTTTGTCGGTCGTTGGTT